GCAACTCACTAGGTAAGCTGTCTTCAATCTGATCAATCCTTCTTGTTCGCTGCGCACATCTTCGTCTTGTTCCAGTCGGGTCGCTACCAAGAACCATTTTTATTCGGTCTTATCCAACATTGTTACGATGTGTCCAGCCCACTGTAGTCGCCTGATTTGTGCATTCGATCTAAATCTCTTAACTTACAAACCTGCTGCAATGCTACTTAATGATTCAATTATTTTCTACAGTGATTCAACAATTTTTGAGCTAAATCAAAAATTTTCAAAATTTGTTTAATTTTTTTAGAATTGAGACCAAATCAGAAACGATTTAGAAAATTCCTTATTGAAGTGCCACTTTTCAAAGCACATTAAGAACTGAGTCTGAACTTTTTTGAAGTGAGTTCAAACTTTCGAACAAGTTATCCACATTTTTCTGAAGTGATCCAACATATCCCGAACCCTAGCTTTAAAGAATTGGTTTTAAATTTCTGGAGTGAGGCCACATTAGCTCATTTAATGCCATTCCTAAATGAATCCAAGGTTGTCTGTGTTGATTCAACTTTTTTCCGAACTGAATCCAAACTTCTTAGAACGGGTGTTTCCTAAATGATTCCCAGATTTTTTGTTAACTGCTTTGGCATTTGGCTAGGACACAATCTTGTTTAGGTCATCTAGCTTTCCTTTTTTTCTTGATTTGTTTTCCATCGATCTTGTTTTCCGTACTGAGCACCAATGCTACCGACGCCATGGAGGCAGCTCCCACACCTGGACTCTACCTATCGACCCATCAACTCATGAACCGGGGAAAACGGCTTTTCTTCACTTCCGAAGGAAGGCGTGATCAAAGATGTTATGCCTCAGAACATCCCGGCGGCGCCGACTGGGATTGAACCCAGGCCTGCTGGGGTGAGAGGTAATCACACTTACCACTACACCCCCGGCCCCGCTATCTAGCTTTCCTAAAAGTGTAGAAAGTTCCCCGGCCCCTCTATCTAGCTTTCCTAAAAGTGTAGAAAGTTTTCCGAAGTGAACCGACACTTTTTTGACCTTAAATTTTCCAAACGGAGTCCAACCTTTTCTGAAGGGAGTCCAAAGTTTTCTGTTGAGTGATTGGATTATATTTAATGGTAATCTGAGCTTTCCTGAAGTGGTTTAACTAACTTTTAACGTAGATTCCGCTCCTCTAGACCCCTTCCTCGTTCTTATGAGACTCACATCCTTTGAAAATTTGGCTGAGATTTTAAAGAATGGACCTTGTGTGTGTTCAGGCCTGATGGTGGATTTTTTTAAGCAAGCACAATTGTTGAGAAAACTGGGTTTACATCCACAAAAGTACGGTTTCTTGATCAGCCAACTTGGATTTTGGCTCCGACCTTTGAAAAACAGGCTTGGATTTTATAGAATAGACCTTCGTGAGTTCCTACGTGATGGTAGATTTTTTTGAAGCCAGGTTGGATTTCAGTTCTATCGTTTGAAATTTGTGCTTGGATTTTATAGAATGGAACTTGCTGAATCCATACGTGAAGGACGAATCTGGTAAAAATTAACAAAAGTAGGTACTTTCATAGAAATTTGATATTTCTGTTTTGTTGAACTGAATTTTGGCTCCTGTCTTTGAAAAATAGGCTTGCATTTTATAGAATAACACTTTCTGAATCCATACGTGAGGGTTGAATTTCTCAATTTTTGAGAAAACCGAGTTCACAAAAGTACGTATTTTCATAGAAACTTTGATTTCTTGTTCTGCAAAGTTGAATTTTTTATACGTCCTTTGAAAAAGAGGCTTAGTTTTTATAGAATAGACCTTGCTGAATCCATATGTGATGGTACATTTTTTGAAACATGCACAATTTTCATAAAAAATTGTGTTTCCTGTTCAGCCGAGTTGAATTTCTTCTCCTTTCTTTGAAAATATGTGGGATTTTATAGAATTGCTGAATCCATACGTATTTTCAAAGAAATTTGGGTTTTCGGTTCTGCGAAATTGCATTCCGGCTCATATCTTCAAAAAATAAGCTTGTATTTTATTGACTGGGCCTTGCTGAATCCATACTTGAAGTATGAACCGGGTTAATATTCACAAAAGTACGTATTTTCATAGAAATTTGATATTTCTGTTCTGCTGAACTGAATTCCGGCTTTTATTTTATAGAATCGATCTTACTAGTCTGAATCCATACGTGATGGTTCAACCGGGTTTGTAATTCTAAAATTTTTTTTTTTTTTTATAAATTTGAGTTTCCTTATCTGCTAAGTTGGATTTTGATACCGTCCTTTGAAAGTTTTACTTAAATTTTATAGAATGGACATTGCTGAATTCATACGTGATGATTTTTTTGTAAGCACACACAAAGCTAGCTTTAAATTATAAAAGTACTTATTTTTGTAAAAAAAAATGGTTTTAATGTTTAGATTGATTTTGGCTCCTTCCATTGGCTCCTGTTATGCATTAGTTTCGAAAATCACGGCTTCAAAGAAGTATAAGGCTGACACGAAGGCTAAGAAGTAATGTAAACGTTTGAAATATACGGTTTAGATGCGATGTAAAACGAATTTTGAATGTTTTTTTTTTTTGTTTTTTTTTTTATTTCCCCCCCCCCCTGCCTTGACTGGAGCTTCGAGTGACAAAAGAAAAACTTGTGATTTGTTCTAGCTCAATTATTTAAAAAATTAAACTAGGAAAACTGCTGAATTTTCAGACTACCCTAACACGTAAAGGGCCGCTCTAATGGCGAAACAAAAATATGGGTCTAATATTTTTGATAAGGAACAAAACTATCAATTGCTACGAAATTCTTAGATTCACTCGAACTGTTTTTTTATGGAATTATATATAGTTTTTATTGAAATTTGGTAACTTTCTCGGGGGCACTGAAATATGGCCAGGATGATCATCGAGTTACCGAGGACTCTCAAATGGGTTCTACTGGGTGAACAATTTGAGCATGAATCATCAGTACATCATTACATCAACGGAAAACAAAACGAGTTGAATGACGAGCAGGAGCTACCCCAACGAAATCCGGAATAGCTCTTAAGGACAAGATTGTTAGAAGCCACACATGAACGCTATCATGGTTGATTTTACAAGGCAAATTGTGGATTCTATCAATCATGTCCTTAACAGATTTGAAAAACTGACATGCTTCCCGACAAAATGTAATTTGGATTGCAGAAAATAATCATCAAATGATTTTTTAACCACTTATTGAAATTTGAAATCTACCAGATCAAGACATTGGGTACGCAAAGGTTTAAAAATAAATTGTCCTACTGGTCTACTAGGTGTTGTGTGTTGACTGTTGTCGACTATTTGTGTCAAGTGACACAAGTGCTAAATTTGTGCAACCAATATTTGAAGACTGTGTCAACCATAAAAAAAAGCATTATAGTTTGTCATCCAAGTGTATCCGGGGCATAACAAGGATATATTCTGGATCTTCATTTCCTATGAAGCAGACAACAGACAGATAATAATCTTGTTGTGAATTAGCAAGGTTACATTTTTTGTATAAGTTTCTTTCTGAAACACTGCTCTAAACATGAAGTTCTATAAGCAGTGGTTTGAATCCAGAAATTTAAATATTATTTTGAACTTACAATTTGATGTAGAAACGTCGTTCTTATTAAATCTGCTAAAGGAAACGTCATATTGTGTCACATAACGGCCAAGCTATGCCTTACAGTATCTAGCACATGGTTATCCAATGTCTGGAATCAGTGGAACATATTTTACATATATATTACCATGATCATTATGGATGAACATAAGCTTGTAGAGTTTTAAGTTCGGTGTCGTGGGTTATTTATGTGGATGTTCTAGATCTTGCTGATGGCCAGCTCGTGACCAACCAAGATCCAGTTCTATTTCACTATCCAAAATTCGCAAATTTACCTCGAGTCCTATTTACAGTGCTTTATGTTCTATTTCATGACAGCCACAATTACGGATTTTTCTGAAGGCCGGATCGTAGCTATTCAAGGTCCGCAATCGGATCACAACCTCAAATTCACACGTTTTCCACGAACCCTATTGATTTAATACAAATCAAACCGTTTCGTAATGTGGCCAATTTACCGGATGTTTGCTTGATTATGACAATTCATTGTTCAAATTTAGTATACAATTATAATTTTACAAATTTCATTGATTCAGCAAATTGTACTAATCGAAATATTTCATGTCTCGATTTTACGAACATTTCAAAAACCGCGTAAAATCGGAATATACCTGTATCACTACACAGCAGTTAAGCACAAGCCTAAGCAAAGCCTTTCAGTAGCATTCCTCATATCGTAAAGTAGCTTTCAACCGGCTCCATTATCCATCATCCGTCACCAACATCCATGAACTAGAAACACTATTTCCTACATTTTCACTTTCATCTCTCACACACAGCTCACCCTTGGGAATCACGTGCAAGGGCGCAGGCAAACAAAAGCAACAACTAGGTAACTGAAGCTGCACATTCAATAGCATAATTTCCCTTTTCCTGCAGAAGATGCTCCCATTACTTCACATTTTCACACAGTGCACAAGCGCATTGACATGTCGTTGGATGCTTATGGATGGTCTCGTTTCCTCGCTGTTCATCGTCATCGGCGTCATTGCCGTCGGTCGCCGGCATCCGTAGCATAAAAGAAGGAAACCTGCGGTGACAGTGAAAACCCCGTCAAGTGTTCTTCCTCGACAAATCGATGAAACCAACAAAAAAAAGGCTGCTGCGAGAACTGGAAACCCATGAAAATCCTGTTCTCTCGTTTTCGTTCCTTAGCAGCATTTCTTAGGAATCAAAACAAAAACATTGCAAAATCAGCTGTCCGGTGCGTCCTAAACGGCACGGAAGTCTACATCGTACGCGCATCACATGGTTCCCGAACGCCGAGGATGGCACGAACGGAACATAAACATCCCATTCCTTCGACACGAATGGCACACAATCCACCCACCACCCACCAGGAGATTTCACCACCCCCAAAAACACCACTTCCGATATCGACGAAAAAAGGCTCACCCGTTTTAACCAATATGGCTGACAGGAGCAACCAGCAGAGGAGATTTTTCTTCAGCATCATTTTTCCACCAAGTGCAGCACTTCTACACTTTGAATTTTATCAAATTCCAGCAGAGCACTGATTCCTCTACTGAATACACACCATGTCACACTAGTAGCACTTTTAGAACAGCACTTTTGCAAAGTGGCAACTTTTCTGCTTTTCCGCAGCAGAGAGCGTGAAAAACGTGTCCTCCCACTAGCACGGTCAGAACGTATCTCCTGTTCTTGGATTTTCTCGCCGACCCTTCTCGCAGAGGAGCCCGCACGACAACGATGACGGTATCAATGATGACGATGACGAACGATGCACACAGCCTCACTTTATGGCGTTATGGAACGTTTGTATCCAGGACCCAAAAAAAAACCGAGGAACACTCAAGGACGAATCCCGAAACACCGCGCGCGCGAGCTGAAGACAGAGTAGGAGATATTTGCACACTTATTTCACCATTTTCGCGATCTTCCACGGGTTTTAATGTATTCACTTCTTATATTCTAGCTTTCGCGTTAGCATACTACTGGCCGGTGAGACTAACAGACAACAACTGACTGGGTGCCAACTTGAGCGTGCTATCAGCACCTAGATCCCACCGATTCACCGCCAGGAATCTCTCTGTACGGGGTACGCTTTCAAGTCATTCGTATATTTTGAGAATGTCTCAACAAGTCTCGACAGCGATGTCAATACGAAATAAGATTTCGGTTCCTAATTAGCTTGGAAATTAATATTTTATTAAATAATCATGTATTTTAATATAATTTACAGATCATAAATTTCTTAGAACTTTAAATGACGCCTAAAATTGGGATTTTAAAATTAGGATTTTGATGTAAATATTAACTCCTCGAGCATCACACTGTTTTTCAAAATGATGCACCATACAGCAAGGCAAGTTGAAGCGGTTTATTCAAAGTTGATCTTTCTGAAAAAAAAAATTAAATAAGATAGTTTAGTGAAAGCGTCTTCTACATAAATGTTGAATTATCATCAAGAGTGATAAAACTCACATTTGTATTGGAATACATTTGTGATTTGCAATAGGTAGGTAAACTATTCAACTTCCAGCTCCTCACTGTCCTTTAAATTTGTATTGCGGTCACGCAAACAAGTAAAAAAATTGAACGGATTTGGTTTATGACCTGCATTTGCGGGAGAACTAGAAAGTTTGTATGGGAAAATGCATGGGAAACGGAACGACAGATTTTGCACCAAACCTCATGGTAATTTTTCCCCAGGGGTGCATATTACCCCAGAGGCCCTTACTGCTGTAGGTATGCGCGAACCACTAACTTTAAAGTAAAAATAAGAACTTTTGCACAGAAGTCGAATCGATTTGAGGTCTTCGACAAAGTGCGAAAGTGTGTCAGCGAACTAGATGAGCTAAAGAGAAGTGCATGAGTACATCTCCGTGTAGACAACGGCACCTCGAACCTGAACGTGGACAAGTTGACAGCAACGTTAGCAAGGGCTTATGATACAACCATGCCTAGGGAACTGGAGTCAAAGAACAGACGGTGCCCAGTTGACTGGTGGAATGAGGCACTCAGCGCCCTCCGTAATAATTGTCTCAGAGCCAGAAGACGCATTCAAAGAACCAGAACCAGAAGACAGAGTTGAACGGGAAAGGGATACGGTGGATGCAATCCGGACAGTGGTCGAGAGAACTGAGAAGTCGTCGAAAAAAAAACGGAGTGGAAATCGATATTGGACCGTGATAACGACAGACATTCAGAACGCATTCAAGATGGGAAACTTTCCCCGAAGCGTTGCACAGAATGAGGGTATCTGACTACCTTTGCAGAATTCTTATAAACCACTTCAAAAGGCCCACAAGAATCCACACACCAAATTCTAATTTTTTTTTTCTTTGGTTTGTTTTTTCCGTCGATCTTGTTTTCCGTGCTGAACACCAATGCTACCGACGTGCCAGGAAGGCAGCTCCCACACCTTGACCCTACCTATCGACCCATCAACTCATGAACCGGGGACCAAAGGCTTTACTTCCCTTCCGAAGGAAGGCGTGATCAGAGATGTTATGCCGCAGAACATCCCGGCGGCGCCGACTGGGATTGAACCCAGGCCTGCTGGGGTGAGAGGTAATCACGCTTACCACTACACCACCGGCGCCGTTGAGTTCTAAATTTGGTGTTCGGTATTTTTTCTGAGATCTGTAATACTTATTTTTTTGCTGTATGATCAATAAAACTGCATGAATCTAAAAAAAATCGAATTTTTATTTTAAATTTATTTATATTTTTAATTTCCTTTTGATTTCATTAATACCCAAGAGCCGAATGCTAACTGCTTGCTTTCCCCCGTGTGCGCAGCTTTCTTCTTTCTTCAATTTCCCTTTCTTACCTACACTCAAAATAATCTTCACGTTAATGCTACGTGAAAACATACATATATTTTTTCCATAGCACTATTCACGTAGACGTTACGTGATTCTCATATGGAAGCGCTAATTACCGTGAGCTCCAACGTCAATGGATTATCACATAGATGTTACGTGATTCTTTCAGTACAGCTCATGGTGGTTTCTAATGATGTTAATTCTGCTACGATTTGAATAAAATGTATTCTTGATTTCGCATTAGGCAAAGATCTAGTATTATTTTATGCATATGCCTTTATTTTGTCATAAAATATATACATCGGCAACAAACACATATTAAAAAATTAGATTCGATCGGGCCAAGGATCTAAAATGGGAAAATATACATGTAATACAAATGGGTATCCTGCACTTTATCTTACACCATGAATGATGCTGTCACACTAAAAAAGAAACAGGCTTAATTATTCTCTATGTAAATGTTTAATTTATTAAACTTACCACATTAAATTGACCTACAAAATAGTAACATCTACACTGAACTAGCGCCATATTGAGAATCACTCATTTATTTTTTCAGACGTGAAAATCACTTAGGGTTTACGTGAAACGCACATAGAATCTGTGTATGGGCAAATCACCTAAACTTCATTAAAAAATGTAACGGTTTCAAATGGAATTTCCCCTCATATATAAGTGGTGTCGTGTAGATTATACATGGATTATGTAAAATTGACGGCAAACCAAAAAGAGATACTCTACGTGATTTTTCACGTAACTATAACGTGTCGATTATTTTGAGTGTACATTGTTACTGTTTCAAAACTATAATCACTATATGCATAGTCTGGCGGAAATACCGGCGGGAGACAATCAGGCATGACTGTTTTTGTTTAGATTATGTATTGTGATCGTGACGAAAATTAAATCAATGAAATATGAAACCACGTATAGTATGTTGTTTGTATGTATTGAGGTATACGTTGAAAACTGTAGGTAGATCGATATTCGTTTTAAACCTTTGATACTGATCAGATAAAAAATGTATGTTTTGTGTAAAACAAAAACGTCCTGCAAAGTCTTGAGCAATTTCACGAGTTAACCAGATTGTTATTGTGAAAATCTAAGATAACAGTTTTCCAGATTTTGAATCCACCAGACTATGAATAAATTGCGGCTACCGTAGAGCTCTGTCGCAGCTGTCAAAGTTCTATGGCCAGCAAGAAAATTAGCTGAATATTGAATAAACATAGAATGCTTTGACAAATTTTAAGCATTTTGGCTTGCCATTCTTTTAGACCTTACAATTTTATAGCCGCGGTGGAACTTCTTCTTCTTCTACTACTACTTCTTCTTGAAGTTAATCCGTAAGATGAAAATCTAAGTAAGTCTCTGAAAGAGCAATAGTGACCATAGTTTCAACAGCTCCTTTGCAGTAAAATATGTTGCGTCTTTCCTCTACAGGGATGCCAGATTTGAAGGCACTTGAAATTCTATGGAGGCTTTTATTATCCGAAGACTTTTGAAGACATTTCATGTTTTGTGAAGACTTTTGAAGACATATGAAGATATTTGAAAAATAAATTATATTTCGGAGCATACAAGTGACGATTTTAACTTCATATTTTTAGTAGTTTCTTGAAAATGGTAAATATGAACAACCAAGTAACCAGGTTTTAACCAGATTTCAAAATAAAGCGTTTGCATTAGCGTTAGCGTTATCGTTGTTATGATATACTTCGTAGATTGGATACTAGCGACACTCACGACTCTTCTGAAATTCTCAGTTAGACTACTTTCAGGAATATCGCTGGGGAGTAAACATTGGTTCCAATCTAAACAAGAGTAACAGAAGCATGACTGTCGCTATTCCCGGCCACGCATATCTTTACCATAAGTAGGGATAGGGAAGGAAATGTTGATGTAGTACTTACTTAACGAGAGGCCACCGACTTAGCGACACCCTCATAAGTGCTACGGAGTTGGAGGGTTGGGTAGGGTATTCGGTTAGGATTCACCTCAAGTTGGCGATGCCATCAAAAGTATGTATTGTTTATTTAGTGTTTATTTAATCTCTCGATAGCCGGCTATCGAAAGAACATATTCATTTTGTTTAGTGATCATGAATTTTAAGAGTTATGACGGAGAGCTTGGAATTAAACCCATGATTTTCTGCTCAGTAAGCAAAAACGATCCCTCCAGGGTCATCGAGCATCTCATAACCATAACACTTCGCGACAAAACACGACTAAGTTTTCGCTTGATATGCAAATAGTTCCCGAGGTTGACCTCAAGTTGGCGATGCAACCAAAAGTATATATTATTTATTTGTTGTTCATTTAATCTCTCGAGAGCAAAAGAAAATATTAATTTTGTTTAGTGATCATGAATTTTAAGGTTCATGACGGAGAGCTTGGGATTAAACCCGTGATTTTCTGCTCAGTAAGCAAAATCAATCCCTCCAGGGTCATCGAGCATCTCATAATCCACAGCGCTTCGCGTCAAAGTACGAATATATGGATGAACTATCTATTATTGAATAACTATTATTTACGATAATTACATGAAAGAAATAAAATATAAACTATAAACAAAACGTGATTACTAAAATCTCAAAAAGATATTCTCACAAATATATTTCACGCAACCAGGAATCTCAAAACCATTAGACGCTATAATGATACTCTGCACATGTTAGAAACAAGAAGAGGCCAAAAAAGCAAGCGTCCGACACACAAAACCTGCCAAATCCGCTTGCAGTCACAATCAGTCTTGTAAGTGGTCACCGTAGTGGACATATTTTCTGTGATAATCTACAGCCTTTGCTTCCGACACTTGCAAAACAGGCTATCAAATTACAGTACCAAACTAAAATGTCATATGACAGGCTCTGTCATACGACACTGTTGCTGAAGACCGTCACGAATGTATGTATTTTAGTTTTTCTCATAATAAAAGCTGCTGATGTTGTGCTTGTGTGAATTCTGAAAATAGCAAGCAACAATGCCCTAGTAATAACATTTCTGATCAGAAATGGTTTAATTTACACCAAATTGAGGAATTAGAACGAAATCACACATGTCATATGATAGTTATTTGAACTCTTTCTTTTTGCTCGAATATTGTTCTACCGTTTGTGCTGTGTAAGAGA